TCCCCTTGGTCCAATATAAGGCCTTTAGTTTTGTTTCCAGCACAGTGTTTTGCTTCTGCCTGACAGCCCTATCATCTTGTGTTTGGTTTGTGACAAGCATGTTCAACACTTCATACAACTAACCTGGAGTTCCCACGCTATCCCCACCATGACCTGTCTCTTGTGCTTTCCCTAACATACGTACAAAATGCTTGAACTCCAGTGGTCCTACTTTTCCACTTCAGTCTTGAGCACCTGGCACCTCTTAATAGTTGCTCAAATACAGGATACTTAAGCAAACATCTGCAACAGAGAACTCTACAAATTTAATCAGACATTCTCCAGACAGTTTCTTAGCTGTTACAAGGCCTGCTCCTTCTTTTCTGTCTCATGCTGCACTTATATCCCTTTGAACATGCAATTTCATTTGATTCTTGTAATTTTCCATGAGCGGATCCTGTGCTACTAAGAGAAAGTGCATGTCTCCCTCTGGGACATCAGCCTTCCAGAAAAATGGATTTCATCAGGAGCAACCATTACAGAACCTGCAGAAGGCAGCAGCAGAATCTTCCCCAAGTGACCCAGAGATGTGAATTTTTTTTCTGCTAAAGAGGCAAATATCCATGATTCTTTCACACTGTGAAGAACTTCTCTTCATCACAGTTTATCTGCAGCAACAACTCATTCCCATAAATGTAAATATCATGTGAAAACATGTACAAAATACATACAAAATACATCTAAATAACATGTAAATAGCAGCAGGGAGACAACACAAGGAGAAGTCAAGATTTAATGTTTTAAGCAATGTGGCTGCAGTCACTCAGGCACTGGTGCAAATGTGTGACTGCTCTTTTGCTTTTTGTAGAATTTTATGGTGCTAAAGATAACAGAATGGAATAAAGAAAAGGATATCCAGGCAGACTGTCAGGGAAATACTTATGGAAAGATTTACTGAGCAGTGAAGTAGCCTTGTAAGGAATGTGATGAAATGATTGCAAAGAATAGCTTTGAATTAGGTTGCACAAAACATTGGGAAATGTACAGTGGGAGAAGTAGACAGGACTGATTAGGAAACTCAGCTGTATGTTTCTGTCCTCATTATTTTTGATATGACTGCTCTCTAGTGGTGGCTGTAATTATACTTAGCAGTAGACGAAAGAAGTCTCTGACACAACTAAAGCCAAAACGTAAGAAGGTAGATAGTGCAAGTCAAGAGTCTGTTATATGGGAAAGCATGAACTAAATAAGTTTGCTAAACCTCTTTAGTTTGCTAAACAAGTTGTTGAAGTCTGGAGACTGGACTCAGAGGGAACATTATGTAACATTGTAACATGTAACATCATTGTGAACAGATATTTCCAGCTTACACGAGTATTTGGCATGCTTTTGAACTGTTTTCTAGATATTTCTAGCATAGAAATATGCCAATGTTCTTCAGCCAGACCTTCCTTCTTTGTTGCTGTTAAAGACATTCCCATTCATGATTTTAAGACACTTAATATGCTTTTGCATCAGACATATTTCCTTCCCATTTTCTTATGGATAATTCCATCGTCTCCATAATTTGGTTTCACTGTACTTGTGTATGTAACAGATGATTCTCATGGGCTCATGCAGAACGGCAGTTTCTCAGCTTGCTTACTAAAATCACAGGATCTCTGACATAAAGCCATATTGCAACCCAAACAGGCAACCATCTCCTAAGCTAGTAGATATCTTCTCTATGACACCATCTGCAGCCTCTGTTCTAAGCATGGAGGCTACTGGCGTGAAGCCTTCACTGCATGTTAGTTCTGCGATGAGCAGTCACTGAATGCAGAGGACAATCTTCAGTTTTCCTTTTTTGTTCAACTTTTTCTTCATTCCTTGACTGCTCAGATGGTGTTCAGATGCAGACACCGCTGTTCCCTCTGTGCAAATCTTCTGAATGACATAAAAAGTAGCTAATGAACATACTCGCTAGCTACACACATTCACCTTCTAGTTGCCATTGCAAATAGCCTTGTCCACAGCAAGTGTGCTAGGATTCAGCTAAAATACCTTATTTCAAGTCTTTGGCCTAGTGCTTGGTCTTATCCTCTACAGGGCGGGGCAGCAGCAGCGTTACCAGCAAGGATTCAAACCAAGTCCTGGGGAAGTTTCCGTCTGCTCAGTATCTCTGGACAAAGGCAGTGCTAGGTGCCTCCTACCAGCAGAGAGCCCATCATTCAGAGTCCTTCACCACACCACTCATTTCTCTGCTTCAATTCTGGGCAAATCTCTGTGCAACAATCCTGTCGCCTCTTGAAAGGTGCTCTTATTACTTTCTCCTCAGCTCCAAGAGTGCAAAACACGACTTCTCAACACTCCCATCCTTTCACTTTGCTCACGCTTGCCTAGTCTGTAGTCCTCAGTTCTGAAACAGCTTTGTCCAGGAGGAAAACAAAACACATCTCCTGTTTAGGAACAGCAGAGTCCGGAACTCGCTGTGCTCTTCTACTCAGGGCCGTTCTGATCACCAGTCCTGTTACCACAGGAAAGCCAGGGGGTCTTTATGGAGATAATCTACATAAATAGTGAAGCTCAGGTCCGCTAGTCAAGGACACAGAGGTCATGGCATATATATTTAGAAGGGTAATCTGTCCCATTCCTAGGCTGACTGGAATCCGTTCCTGCTATTTTTCTCCTGTTTTTTTTTTTTTTTTTTGCCTGTATTCTTCCTTCTTCTTTCCCTTCCTGCTGTTGTATCACTACCCCATCAACAGGATTTGAATAACCAAATTAAGTCTTTGCAGTCTTTTTTTTAAAGGTTCTTCCCCTCTTCCTGTCAGTTGAACTGTGGCACAGGTGTATTAAAGGCCCTAAACTGATGGATTATACCCAATAGTCTGAGGTTTCATTCTTAATTGGCCTCAAGGACTCTCAGTAGATGCCATTGACATTGCTTTTAGTGACATAAATGCAAGAAGAGTTAGTTCAGAGTAGCATACTGACTCTAAAAAACAGACTATGAACCAAGGAATATTATGCTTATTGATAAAATTTCCCAAACAGTTACAATGGAGGGAAAACTAGGCAATTGCCTCTTGAAGCATTTAGTCTGTTTCTGTTTGAAAAAAAGAACTTTCTTGAAATGCAGCATTCTGGAAGGAAACAGCAGCCATAGAGTTTTATACAAACTATATCAAAAGCCTGCAGAGTGTAAAAGAAAATGGGTATTTCTATAGCTAATAGAATTTAATAGAGAAGTCTTTAAGTGATCTTGGCTTAAGCCATAGCAAGACCACATTCTCAACTCTCTAATTCTCATAGGAATTAGGAGAACAGAGAAATATTAACAAAGACTAATATAAACTCCTGGAAAAAAAACACTATGCGGGTATCTAGAGACATGCCTACATTTTGTCTCATCAATGTGTCTTTCAGGAGAGTAGTTTGAGATGCTAGAAACATTCTACCATTCTGGACACCGCAAAGCAAAGCTTTCATAACAACTTTCTCTTTTTCAGCTAAGACTGACTAGCAGAGTCCTGGCCGTTGTGCCACATTTTTATACCTGCCTGTTTGATCTGAGCTCCTCTGGTGATAGAAGAATTCATACTCATTCTCAAATTTTGTGTGCTAAGGCTGTAAAGAGCAGACTAGACACTGATTTGAGTTTCAGATAGCTGAACAGAACCTAAGAGTTTCTGACATGCCATGGCAAAGCGCTAGACATGACAGAAAATTATGTGAGAAACTGGCAAAAATTAGATAGGACTATGATGGCTAGTTGCATTTCACTGAGCAGCTACATGAGAAAAGGCAGCATTTTAACACGAAGCTGAAGGCAAATACTGGGCACTTTTGGAGGATAAGAATCTTGCAAGGCCAAGAATACTTAGGTGAATACCAACCTCTGATGATAGGAAAGACCATACTCAGCCTTGTTCCCACACAAGCTTTATTAAGTAGTAGCAGTGACCACAAATTGTTTGCTTGAGGTGCATGAGCCATCATTTGTCAGTAAGTAGAAGAATAAGATCTTTTATGTGGCACTTTACTCCAATGACGTGAGCTCCAGAGAACTGGGATGAGTTTTCTCATTGCATAGTTCATTAAGCGGTCACTTCTCAGTTAAAATAACAGCATCTACTTCACAGGTTCTCTTTTACCATTTCAATTGATGATTGTAATAAGAGCCATTTTAAAAAACCATTCAGTAGAAGTCAGTCTTACTCCAACAGTGACTTTACCTAGTCCTCCAAGTACATAATAGTAGGACTCTAGAACCAGAAGAGTTGGAGCTTGATCCAAGAGCAAGAGCTCTTCACCATTCCAGCCTGGGGAAAAGAGCTGTGAGGGGAAGCTGAACCAAGAATTCATAGTAAAACAAGTTATGTGGATTGCAGCATAACTTGAGTAGTTGCTCAGTCACATATAGACCACTTCCCAACAACCTTCAGAGCAGCCTAGGTCAATGGATTTTTAAAGTCAAAAAATAAAAGAAGATATTTTGGTGCTCTCATCTAGGGTGGAAGATTACAGAAGCAGAATATATGGGGAATACTAAGCCAAGCCCAAATATTCCCATAATAAGCCTACAAGAATAAAATTACTGTAAAAAGGCTAGTTTAAGGCATGTACAGTATTTACACACATCAAAACTACACTAAGAGGGGAACAAAGTGAAGGGAAGCAAGGAAGGAGCTGGGAAAGAGGTCCCAAGCCCTTTCCTATTAGACATAACTGAGGAGTATGTCCTTATTTCATCTGATCCCTTCAGTAGCAAAGGCCATCCAGTGCCTGCCTAGATGTTTTTTCTGATAATGTCCAGGGACACATGTCTAGCACAAGAGGTTCCATCTTGTCCCGCATTGCAGTCTATTGCAGCTTATAACAGGGAGCTTATAGCAGCCAATGGGCCTGTCTCCCAGCCTAGCGGGAGTCACCGATGCCCAGGGATGAGGGAACTAGTCAAAAGCAGGTATTGAACTCTACCCAGACTTTGTGAGCAGATCTCAGAAGAGGAGAGTGCTTTACGTAATATCACCATAAGCCAATTTCAGCCCTAGGGCCAGTTTACTTCAGTTCAGGTATGAGCTGAGACCAACTAATGTCCGTTCCTAGGTTTTCATCTTCAAGACCAGGAAAGCTGATATCTAGAAGGATTTTGCTCAGACTGTCGTTCATGGTATCCAGGATCAGGCCTTCCATGAGTGACCGGTTTTCAGTAAGGCCAGAGGTTGGCAGTTCAACAGCTGAATATTTAGTGGATTCATGAATGAAAGATGGGGAGCTTGTAAGGGGGCCAGGCATCATTTCACTGGCTTCCGTATTGAGCAGTTCCCGAGGGGACTCAAAAAGGGGATTTTTTGGAGGAGTGCTGTTAAAACCCAGCAAGTCCTGGTTCTCTCGGAGGGGTGTGAATGACAACTGAAAGGTTCTCACTGGACTGAAGTCCAGTTCATTACTTTCCTTGGCTAATGAAGCAGATTTCCAGGGATCAAGGCACCCTAGTGGGGACGTGGTAGCTGAGACTTTGCTGGGAGTGGAAGAAACCGGCAACTTGCTGAACAGCTCCTTGACGGGTGTTTTAAAGGGTCCCCCTTCCTCCTGGGAGCAGCTGAGCTGTGATACGTTCTCCAGAGCCTGGCTTTCCTGCAGGAAGTGAACATCTGCCCCCAACCGGACTGCATTATAGTCACTGCCCTCTGGCAAAACAAGCAGCGGCTCTTCAGAGCAAGGCAGTGCCAGGCGCTGTTTCCTTCTGGATCTGCCCGTTTCCCGTCTCTCCCGCCTCTTTATAACCAGCGTGTCAGAAGCACCCTTAGATGGGGACTTCAGTACGGTGAAGTGTTTCTTCTGCTTGGTGGCTGAGCTTGGGAGGAAGGAGCCAGGCTCCTCCTTTACAGGAAAGGCCGAGGTGAAAGGAGACAGCCACTCATCGGGCTGGGAGCCTTGCTCCTCCTTTATGCACAGGGCTTCGGGGAAAGACGCCACGTCCTCGCCAGGCTGGGAGCTGCTCTCCTTTACAGGATGGGCTGAGGCAAAGAGACTTTCATCACATTGACTCTCCTCTTTGACAGCAGCCATTGGTAAAGATGACGACTCTTCAGTAGAGAGTGACATCTACCAAAAAAAAAAAAAAAAAAAAAAAAAAGAAAAAAAAAAAAAAAAAAAAATCCACAATGATAAGCAGCCAGTAAGCAAGGAACTAACACATCCAAAAATACAAATGATCATAGAAATGACAGAAATACTGGCAGTAAAAAAGCTCTTCAGAAAGCAGTAGCAATAGCAGCTGATAGAGATTGATCTCTGTGTGAGATTAATATGGAGAAGCTTACAGATCGCATGGGAAGGATTTCAGCTAAGTGATGCCCTTGAGACCACCATGAAGAACTGTTACAGGTGGACAGACAGGAGGGAAGCTAAGCGTTTCTAGAAAATGCAACCACTTTAGTTTCTCCTTACACCATCTACATGTAAAATAGAATGAAGGAGCACAATTTTCATGGAGAGGAAAGGTAAGCGGAAGGGGGAAAGATGGATTGTGGGAGGAAAGAACATGAAATAGCAGGCAGACAAAGAGAATAGGACCAAGTTCAGAAAGGATGGAGAAGTTTGGAGTTTATAAGCTCTAAGCATTGAAGAACAGTGAGAGAAATGCCAAGAGTTGAATATTCAATAACCATTTTGATTCAGACCAGAGTTATCTGGGTACTTGCTTTGTGCTAATTCTGTGAAATTCCCAAAACTCTAAGATTACATAAGAAGAAATGCTGCTCCAGTAGCAGGTTCTTATGTTAGAGCTATTAGAGTCAAGTATTTTAGGCACAAGAAAGGGCCATTGCTCGCATTGCTGTTTCTTCAGATCCAAGTAGTAGAATAACATAATCTTGACCATTTAATCCAGAGACCTTCCCCTCTTCTCTTTTAGGCAACCTCTATCGCAAGCCCACTAGCAAGTAATAGTCATCCTAGAGAGGGTTTTCCGTTTCTTTTTGGTGAAGATAGTTTTCCCATTTCCTTTTGGGCAGCAAGCATTGTCACTGGCTAGTTCCTTGCCAGAAGCCTGTCTTTTGAAGGTCCTAGTAAAGGTACAAAAGGAATCTGGCAAAGAATAGGGTCCAAAGAAGGCAACAGCTATTGAAGGAAATATAAACAAAGGAAAAAACCAACCTTTGGAGCAATGCGCACACGCTTGTTGCTCCGGACAGTCTCTGAGCTGTTGAGGGATGTCCCTTGTGCCATGGAGAGAGGGACCTTCATAGAAGGCTGCAAGACAAGAGGCTGATTCAACGGAAACTGGATCGGAACCAGGTAGGAGTTGATACGAGGAAGCAACGGCTTCATCTTTCGTCCTGGAAGGGAAAAGAACGGATTTGCTAGCTTGCTACCCTTCACTGCCTCTTGAAATGCAGGTACATGTCAGGAAGTCCTTCTAAATTCCAGCCCCCTTCTAAATCCTCCCCTTCTAAATCAGGGATAGAATCACCAGCCTTTTGTGCTAATTTTGGATATAGAAATCCCTAGCCAGAAGCCCTGATGAAGAAGATATATTTCTTTGTACAAATTCTAGACCTAAAGTTGGGGGGAGCTCTGCTTTCGCTCCATTTTGAGTGACTAATTCTTCTCCCCACATTCTCTCTCAGACACAGCAGCACTGTCTCAATTCCAAACAGCTCTAAGAAGACTTCGAGCTGCAAGGCTGAGCCACAATTTCCACTTTTACTGCTGTGGAAATCTAGGACAGTCTCCAAGATTTAGAGGATGGATTCTTGTAGGCCTAGGCTGATGCAGATACTCACGTGCATTATGAGTCTCAGTTTTGCTGCTGCTGCTTCCCATGTTCTTCTGGAGATCTTGAACATGTCGCTTTTGCTGCTGCAATTGTGGAAAAAAAAAGAGGGAGAGAAAGAAAGAGAATCAAAAAGAACCCATCTTTGTTCAGCTGCCTCGTTTAGAAATGTGAATCCAGAGGCTTGTGCTAAGATAATACAGAGAGAGCAGCAGTTACTAGCAATCATTCATGCTGGACCCATTTCTGTGCCACTTGTTATTTTGTACCATCTCAAAGCCAGCTACCAACCAAAAGCCACGCAGAAAAAGAGCTGGCATGACAGAGCTGCTCCAACTCTGGACTCTGCTGCAGAAGCAACCAGGTACGAGCGTCCTCAGTGCCCGAGGGAAGGAGAACAGGAAAACCACACTGTGCATCAGATCTCTACATAAACCAGGAACTGGATGTTTGGGTAAAATAGCAGAGGCAGCAGAGGAATCAGAGGTCTAAGCAAACAAAAAGAGGGCTAGGGCAGCAGCGGTGACAGGAAAGTGCTCGAGTGGCTGCTGGCACATCTGCCATTGTTAAAACAGCTGGAAGCAGGAAAGACAGCAAACGGGTTAATCCTTCCACTAACAAAAAGCATCCCAGCCGAAGACCTCTGGCTCAACCCTTTTCCCTAAAATGGGAGCGGAGCGTGTGGAGCTTCTTTGACTAGGTGCAGCAGTGAGCCAGCTCCCTCCCCAAGCCTTCTGTCTTTTCCTTTAGTAACTGTCCAGAAGGAAATGGAAGCCCAAGCCCCGAGCCAGAGGGAAAATCTTACTGATTCAGAATGCTCAGGCGATGTTGGTGACCCCAAGTCCAGTGGCTGGTGACAGCAAGGCAGTGAGAGGGAGAAAAATAAGAGGAAGTTATCAACCAAAGGGGGAAAAAATGGGGCATTTTAACCTTGCATAATCTGAGCAAACCAGAAATTGACTCTGTCCACCCACTGCAAGTAACACAGAAAAGACTGACCACACCTATTCAACTCTGGTTTCTTTCACAAAGTCATAATTCTTAAAACATTCATCTGGGAAAAGGCAAGCTTGTCCAAACACCATAGGAACTGTACTAATGACTACTTCAGTGGAAACCTTCCCACTGGTTTATATCAGGCCCATGGAAAGAGGTCAAATAATTTCATTATTACATTTGTCACACATCCTGAAAAATACACAAGTCCCAAAGAAGCTCCAGTTTATGTACAGATATGATCCCTTCTTTCAAATACAGAGCTTGTCTATTTGTCAAGCAAGAGACTTAATCCAACTTCCATAAAAAGGCTTATATCAAAACAGCTAAAATAAGGTGCATCTGGCTAGTGTAGCATTTAGGAGCTGGATAGATTGTGAGATTTTCTTTGCATGAGGAACTCACCTTAAACACCTGGTCCAAGGTCAGGCAACGGTTGGCATCAGGGTGGATAGTCCAAAAGGAGATTTTACCATTAGCAGATGTTTCACGGACAAACATATCATGAAGGGAGAGGTTGTGCCGGATAGAGTTCTGGGAGGGAAGAAAAACAGTAGCTTTGTTACAAGCACAGCAGCTCTGTCCTCAGACATGACTCTCCTGGCACAGGAATCCTGTTTCAAAATCTAGGTGAAGTGGATCTTCAT